CCTGCAGGCGGCACCCCGCTGTGTGCTATGTGGACGGCCCCCAGGACATAACACACACCCAGTTGCCCAGCTCAGCTGCTGCTCCTGCGTGCAGGGGCCTGAGGCCTGTGAGCACACACTGGGAGGTTAGCGAAAACAGTGAACTCTGAGTGCACACGCGTCTGTGCACTGGACCATGCCAGTCCCGGCTCAGCCTCTCCGTGCCCGCATCTGCCCTCTGCCTGGTGTCTTGGACCTGACCCTTCCCCACCCTTTGCCCTCCCTCCCAGGCGTTATTTGGTGGAAACCGCGAGCTCCTGGAAGAGGAGGCAGAAGCGCTGGCAGCTGGGAGCAGGGGCCTGGCGCGTCCATGTTCACATCGTCGTCGCCATGGGAGCGTTGGATTCAGCCCCCGAAAAGCAGCTGTGTCTTGATCAACAGCTGAGCCGCAAGGATCTGTGCAGCGCAGGCGGGACTGGAGAGGGGAGGACCCGATGTCCTGCAGGGACCCACCAGAGGTGTGAGGCGCTGGTCCTGCTCCAGGACGAGAAGGTCGGGGTGCACCCTGGTGTTGAAAGTGCTCAGAGGCCAGCGTGGGGGTCTCAGAGAGATGCCTCCTGATCTGATTTACGTTCTTAAAGATCACTTTCCTGGCTTGTGGGGCCCGACTGGGCAGCGTGGACGGAGGCCCAGCAAGACCTTTCGGTGGCCTGGAGAGGAGGCGTGCCTGGGGGCAGGGCAGCCACGTGGATGGAGAAGACAAAGGCTGGAGTCCGACCCCTTGGAGGCCCTCTGACCCAGCACCTCAGGGAGGCTGTGGGCTTGAGGGGTGCCCGGCACAGGCCCCTGTGAATGGCACAGCGGCCACAGGCCTGTGTGAGGACGTGTTGGGGCTCCCGGCCCGCAGCTCTGTGGGGGAGCCACTTTGTTCCAGGAAGCTCAGACATCACCCACTCGAGACCTCAGGGCTGTCCGTGGGAGCCAGCCTGCGGGGCCTCTGACAGCTCACCGGGGCGGTGCAAGAGGACCTGAGCTCTGAACCCTGAAGGCGGAGCCCCTAGCGAGAAGGTGTCGCCAGGGGACCAGTCCAAGCGGAACAGGAGGACCCGACGAGGAGGCCCAGCCTGGGCCCTCCACACACGGAGGCTCTTTAAACCCTGAAGAGGGCCTTCCTATTGTGGGAAATGTCTCCCACGCAGTCAGGAAAGGATGCGGTCGGAAGGGCGGGGGCGGAGGGGCGGTGGGAGGTGGTAGTCACAGGCTCCCGAGTCTGACATACACAGTGCAACGGGAGGAAAGCCTAATTTTAAACTTACTCTGTAATTTCGGCGCAAACCATCTGAGAATCAGGACCCGGGCCAGTGCCGGGGCTGAGATTGGCATCCGCGTGGGTGTGGCTTCGTGACTCGTCAGGTGACACGCCCCTGCCGCCCCCACCTCCCAGCACAGCCCTCTCCCCGCACCTGCCCTTGAGGGGGTCTCCATCCGCTCCCCTCTCTTACCTCCCACCCGGGCTTATTTCCAGCTCCTTCCTGGAGGGACTTGGGGGACAGAATGGTGTGGGGTGCTGGGTGTGCCTTATGGAGTGGCACTGGCTGGCACATGGGCACACTGCTCTCCTCAGCCTGGTGCTCAGTGTGGTGTTCCCGTAACCTAACTTTCCACATCCCCAAGTGGGGACTCCGTCACTGTGAGCTTCGGGCCACTTGGGTGGGAATACTGAGGCCTCAGGTCCGCAGAGTGTGGTCTGGAAGGAGGGGCTCTCATCCTCTTAGCCCCAGGTCCTCTCAGTGTGGAGGGGCACAGCCAGAAGTCACCCGAGTGGGTGTCCCAGCCCCGCTACGTGAGGGACGAGGCAGGGACTCCTGTCACCTGGGCCGGGGGAGCTCCACCACGCCGCCCTGGGAGGTCTGTGGGCACCTTCCGTGTGTGATCCCCCACTCCCATCCCACACCAGCCCGGGCCCTGCCTTCCAGAACGCCGGCTCCCATCTCCTCAGTGACCACAGGGCTTCGGGGAGCCAAGTGGGCTCTTCAGAGAGTGGCTGTGCCCGGTGGGCCCTGGAGACCTGGCTGGTCTGGGGGCACCTGGACCTTCACCCAGGGCCCACTGATTTGATTGAAATGCTTCACACGAGCTTGTTTGAGATTTGCCGCTTTCTTTTATAAAAGAGATGCAGGAAGCGTGAAGGTTGCAGTAATCGATGTTTTCATTATTAGCTCCATTGGCGAGTCCATTAGCTGTGAGTGCTGGGTCAATGGCTGATTGTCTAAAACGCAAACACTGCTTATCACAGCGAGGAGAAGAGGTTGTGGTTCTCGAGAAGGAGGGATGAGATAATAACTCACATTGGCCCGGCATGTTAGCGCTTCTGAGCACCTGCACACACCGCTTCACTGGCCCCTGTCATCGCTCTGAGACGTAGGAGGCCGCAGCTGCTTCTCAGCCCGTTTCACTCAGAGGAGCCTTCGCTTGTGTGAACAGCGTACGCTGGTCCCTGCCTCCGACAGGTGCTGCCGGTACTGCACGGAGAAGGCCCAGGGCTCCTCCCCCTCCCCCTTAAGCACACATAACCTTCAGCGTTAGGCATGGAGCTGTTCTAATAGTAGACCTAAGTGAACAGTAGATGCTAGTGTGCTGTTGTTTTTTAAGGTGAGTGAACATATAAAGTGTAAAACTGTGGTAAAGCGCTTTGTTGTATACAAGTTCTACCAAGCTACAGGCGTAGAGGCATGAAAATGATTCCAGTCAAATATTTACTTATTCCTTTGGTGGAGATTTATTAAGATCTATTATTATCAGCAATGTGCTAGACACCAGTGATTCAAAAATAAGTCACAGTCCCAAGCCTGAAGGCAATCATAACCTAAAGGGAAAGACAGGCACAAAAACAGATCATTCTAATTGGGGCCTGTGAAGGTCTGAATACATCCCTAGGAGCATGGAAGAGAGGGCTTCCTGGCGGAGGTGACACATTCAGTGATTCTCAGAGGAAGAGTAGTTAGGTACAATGAGACTAGGAGGGAGGAAGTGGTGTGGGCAGAGGGCAGGGCATGAGCAAAGGGGAAGAGGTGAGGAACAGAACAGTGTGTGGGGATGAGGAGGCCAGACCTTGAGAGCCACTATGTCCTATTGATGAACTTGAATTTTATGCTGTGGGGGAAGCCAGTGGTGCCCAGGTAGAGGAGCCTTTGGAGGGTTTTAGACATAGAAAGGGCACAGTCATATCTGCATCTCTGAATACCAGTTAGAGACCGTTACCATAGACCAGGTCAGGGATGCTGAGGGCAGTGAGAGTGGATGCAGAAAAGGAGATAAATTCAAGCATCATTTATGGAGCAAGATTCACAGGATGTGGTGATGCAATAGGTGTGGCAGTCCAGGAAAGAGTATAGGAGAAGCCAAAGATGACCTCACCTCTGACCTGGAAGACAGTTAGCACTGGGCCACTGCAGCAGAAATGGGGAAAGGGTCTACTTTACCGTGCAGCAGAAATGGGGAAAGGGTCTACTTTACTGTGAACAAGGCGAGTTTGGTTTGGCCTGTCTGGAATTTGAAGTGCCTCCATCCTCTTACATGTAAATGGAAATAAAAATTCATTTATCTTGCAGTATATTTTGAGCATTGACTAAGAAAACATAAAGCACTTAGCACAGTGGTTGGAATAGAGCAAGCGCTCAAAAAGTGCCAGCTATGATGATGGTGGTGATGATGGTAATGATGTTGGTGATGATGGTGATGATCGCAATGGTGATGCTGCTGCTGATGACAGTAATGATGGTGATCATGATGATGATGGTGGTGATGGTGATTATAACAATGGTGTTGATAATGGTGATGATGGTGATAATGGTGGTGGTGGTGGTGATGATGATGATGATGATGGTAATAATGGTGATGGTGCCCTAACCGGTTTGGCTCAGTGGATAGAGCATCGGCCTGCGGACTGAAGGGTCCCAGGGTCGATTCCGGTAAAGGGCATGTACCTTGGTTGCGGGCACATCCCCAGTGGGGGGTGTGCAGGAGGCAGCTGATCGATATTTCTCTCTCATTGGTGTTTCTGATTCTCTATCCCTTTCCCTTCCTCTCTGTAAAAATCAATAAAAAAAATGGTGATGGTGACAGTGGTGGTGGTGGTGGTGGTGGTGGTAGTGATGATGGTGATGATGGTTATGATGGTGTTGGTAATGAGTCCATGGCAAGGGAGAGAGACATGGGCTAAGAGTTGGGCACGTGTCCTCTTTTTTCCTTCTGCACAAGGTTGGGGACAACCAGGAAGAGTAGCAAAATGCCCAAATGGCAAATTTGCTAAACGAAGCAATTAGACTTCCAGACTGGACTTGAAGCCAATGAGAGAATCGCTGTGAGAGACTTTGTCTGCCAGCCTTCACAAGCGTTCACTCAAGGTGGTTCCAGAGGTGACGCTTATCTCTTTGTGTCACCAGGTTCTATGTCTATATTTTCTAAGTCAGGTTGACTAGTGACTGGGGTTTAAACAACCTTCTTTGTTGAGTAGAAATTCTACTACTGGGATTTCCTAAGAATTGATGTAATCTTTCACTTTGCCTCCTTTTGCCCTCTTACAACCTAATAGTTCCTTCCAAGTACATCAAACCTTAACCTGCACCTCTTCCCAACAAGCAAACCTCACACACACTCATAAGTCCCAAGAAAGTGGGCTTTGCAATGAATGCCTTACACACTTGGTTATAATTCCACCATCCCAAATAGTCGATGCCTCCTTGTGGGTCTCACAAATGCCTATTTGAGTTTTCTGCTTCCAGTTGGACCAGCTATGGCTTTATTTAACTTGTTTTGGTATTGCTTTTTAATTTTTGTTTGTTTTCATTTGTTCCTATTTAATCATGAAACAGCACAGCATGGAACTTTTTGATCTGAATTCCCCTCTGAATTTCCCACCTTGCCCAAGTTGGCTGTGTTAGGAAGTGGTGGGCACCTCTCCAGCTTTTGAAAAATTCATTCAGCCTCTTCCTTTCTGTGCATCTCTTCTGCTTTGCCAGGTCGAGCTGGGAGCTGCCTGACTTGAGGGAAGGGAGAGTAAAAGCCATCAGTGACTCAGATGGGGTGAGCTACCCGTGGTACGGGAACACCACAGAAACTGTGACCCTGGTCGGCCCCACCAACAAGATGTCCAGGTTCTCCGTCAGCATGAACGACAACTTCTACCCCAGTGTGACATGGGCAGTGCCCGTGAGCGACAGCAACGTGCCGCTGCTCACCAGGATCAAGAGGGACCAGAGCTTCACCACCTGGCTGGTGGCCATGAACACAACCACCAAGGAGAAGATCATCCTGCAGACCATTAAGTGGAGGATGAGGGTGGACATTGAGGTGGACCCCCTTCAGCTCTTGGGGCAGCGGGCCCGGCTGGTGGGCAGGACTCAGCAGGAGCAGCCCCGGATCCTGAGCCGGATGGAACCCATCCCCCCCAATGCACTAGTGAAACCCAACGCCAACGATGCCCAGGTCCTCATGTGGCGGCCCAAGCGGGGGCCACCTCTGGTTGTAATCCCTCCTAAGTAGAAGCCGACTGGCCTGGAAGTATGTGGAGCACCCGTGGTGGAGATGCGCAGTGGGGCTGCCAGGAATGGCAGGAGCCAAACTGAATTTCTGAGCCAAAGCAGACCTCCCGGTTTGCCCGCCTTTGCAGCCACCTGTGAAGAGCAGAGCTGCTCCTTGGGTGGTAGAACCATAACCCTTGGGGAAAATCTCTTCCTCTTAGGAATAAAGAAATCCCTGCTTCAACAGACTTGCTGTGAACACCATGCAAGGAGCCATATCTTATTTGGAGCTGACCAGGAGGTTCTTTTATCCAAACTATTGACCATTTTCCTGTGAGATGCAGGGAATGGAAACGACACTAAACAGTGCCTGTGGCAAATGCTGCTTCCCAACCAGTTAGAAGTGGAAGTGACACATCCACACCAGGCGTTTGTAAGACAGACAGTCCGCTGTCGGATGGGAGGGGGCTGAGGGTGCTCAAATACCCAAGATGTTTGGGGTGATCTTTCCAATGGGAGAAAGGTAAAGTGGATACAATTTTTGCCTATAACTCAAGTGCTAATTCTGGTTGTATATTTGAGAACTGAAAAATAAATAACTGGATTTCTCAACCTATAAGTCTCTAATTACAGAAGCTTCTTCTTTTTCTGTTAATCCTCACTTGAGGGTATTGCTTTATTGATTTTTATAGGAGGGGAGGGGAGTGAAGGGGGGTGGGGAGGAGAATGAGCGGTGGGGAGAGGAAGGAATAAGTTATTATTACAAATGAATCCTTGTGCATTTATTAGTTGGTTATCTGATCATCATAGACTCACTGGAATGAAAGGAACACTTAGAAACTGCAGGTATATTGACATTTGCTCTAGTCTGAGAGGGAGTCCTGGGAGCTGTCCAAGGTGCTGATATGAACTGACCGATGGTGACTCTCAATGGTTCCATCTACCTACCTCCTTCCAAAAAGTGATTATTCGGAGCACCCTTAATCACAGCGTTTGGATAGGTCATTTCTGTGCTCTGCAGTCACTATGATATTCGGGGCCTTCGCCATGTTCTCAGTGAAACCTGAATTGTGATTTTTGTTTACAGCTGCTTGTTCTGTTCCCGTTACTAGTCCTAACTTTACAAAAAGATAATGTGTAAAAGCCAAGAATCCATGGAGGGCTTCAAGAACATTTCAGCAAATAAGAATAGCATTTTTCACTTTTTTGTTTGTTTGTTGTTTTAGTTTCTGAATGATTTGGACCTTGTGTGCCAGGGTCCGAAGTTCCTGACGTGTGCATGGAGCACAAAGCAAGCACTGTGCTTATATATTCGATTCTTTCCACTCGATTTCACAGAAGCTCAACTTTAACTGCTGGGCCTTTGTGAGATGTACTTCCTAAGCCTTAACTTAGAGCTCTTTAATGAAAATCTGAGCTACTCACATGAAGCAATAAATATGAAAAACTGTATTTCCTTTGGTCAGGCCAATATCAAACTTTTTAAAGAGTTTCTAATTTTTATAATAAGGATTTTTCCAGCTCTTCTAGCTTATATCCCCCCCCCCCCCGCAAAAAAAGAGCTTTTCCTTTTATTCCCAATCATGAACTATGATATATAAATATGGTGCCTTTTTCAAGCCCCTCCCCCATGCAGGATGATTCTAAAAGTCCCACAATGCCGCTGTGGGCTTGTTGGATGGACCTGTGGGCCTGGTGAGAGAGTTGAGGTTCAGAGCAATTAGGACAGCCCTGTGGTGTGCTCCAGGGATGTGTCTTCGGCCAGAGTTTGAGGATGGAGCAGGAAAGCCAAGAGGGCCTTTTTATGACTGTTATTAAAAGTGCAATTTAGCTGAACTTCTTTCAGGTTCTAGTCCCAGGGGTGGTGCTCACTTACAGGAGAGGGTTAACAGATCCATTTTGAATGACACTGTGTGAACCCCACACCTCGGTCCTGAGCTGCCCCCTAGATTCGTTACTGATAGCACGCTGAGCCATTTATAACACACACAGACGACACACCGGCGACTCGCAGAAAACCGGAGACAGTTCCCTTAGAAGTAGTTCCGCTGTTCCGTTTGGATTCCTCCGGCCCTCTCCATGCTTCCTGGGTATGCTCTGTTTCGTTTAGAGGAGGAAGCCCCAAAGAGCTCCATGGCTGAAATATAAAGCTGCTGGTAGTCCACACTGAGAATCGGAAACAGCAGTGTGTCCCTCTGGTTGAATTAGATGCCACCCATATGGGATTCTGGAGAGTGGACACTGATCCTGGAACCTAATCCATGTCATCTTACTTTAAGAAAACTTGATCTTTAAAAATTGTAGAAAACAAAACAAAACAAAAAAAGAGAGAGAGAAGAAGAAGAAAGGATTATGTATATTACACAATCTTATAGATTTCTGTTTTCAAATACCCATTGCCCACTCAAATACGATGTGACTAACACAGTAATATTCAGATATAACTTTTCCAAGGGTGCACTGTCTTTATAAAGCGAGGCACCACACACTTAGCAAGACTGGT